CGTTTTTGTGGTTCTCTTCTGTGCTAGACGCAAGAGTGATAAAGAGGGGCGATATGTACACGATTGTCCATCTTTATCACTCTTGCGTCTAGCACAGAAGAGAACCGTAAAAACGTGCACATTATCTACGCGAATAAGGGTACAGTTAAAACGCATCCATGACCATTCTCAGATTTTTCTCTACTAAAACGGAACGACAGCCGCAGTACACTTCCATTACGTCGTAACAGGAGCACTTGGAGTGAATAAAGGAACGCACCTCTCTTTAATGCCCTAGTTTATACCGAGCACTTGATACGCGTACTAATTGATAATTTTCTATTAAATTATTTTAATTTCGGCAATGTGTTTAAAGAATGGTGTACTGTACTGGTACAATATGCATCAAAATGATTAATGAAATACACGTATTATATATATGTTTGCATGTATGGTCAAAAATTAAAATAATTTAATAGAAAGTTATTAGTTAGTACGCGTATCAAGTAGTTGGTATAAACAAGGCCAATATAATTTGAGTTTCAAGTTCTTTCTTTCTCCAATATCGCATATAAGGCTGGATCCTCACGTAGATACCGGCGCTTTGACACAGAACACTAATTGATGAAAAATGAGTGGTTGATGAAAAATGAATTGATGAAAAATGAATGGGAGTAAATAGTAAGTACTATTTACTTCCATTCATTTTTCACCAATTAGTGCTCTGTATCAAAGCGCCGATGTTTATGGGTACATTCATTTCCGCAGTATTTTGTGCATTCACTGCTTTCTCATTTGCTTGTCACGTGATTGAAATTTACCGAACGGATACTGCGTGAATAACTGCACGGATCGTACCTTCCAATAAAAATTGAGCCGATTGTTTGAATGATAAGTAAAGAGACAATTTTATACATAAATTTATATTCGAATAATTAAAATGTAATAAAACTTTTTTATTGTATAAAAGATAATATTTTATTGATATTAAATTTAATTGATATAAATAATGGATATTATAAAAAATATTTAATCTATGAATTTTACTTAAAAGTTATTAAATATTAATTTTTTGTGAATTATATTTTATTATTTTTATTTTTTTATTTCTTCTTATTTTTATTCTTATTTTTTCTTATTTTATTTTTATTTTTTATTCTTATTTTTTCTTATTTTTTTTATTTTATCTTATTTTTATTTTAATTATATCTTATTCTTATTTTACTCGGATCAATTATTTATTTCTTATTTATTTCTGACCATTTTCGCTTCTTATTCTAGTAAAAATTCATTTTCATTTACGCAGTACTGCAAGCAGAGCATCCAAAGCAGGACTTCCGAGATAGCTGCACAGATGAGATACATCCCTGCGTAAACGAACGACGAACTGCGCTGCAGTCACTTTCGCAGACGAAGTAAACGAACGACATTTGCGATAGTGACTGCATAAACGAATGCACCCTATATGAGGATCCAGACTAATGCTAAAGGACGGCAAATAACGAGAATAAATTTAATAAATGTAATGCAAACGGAGAAAGAATTTGTGAATGAAATCACAATAAATAACTCTGTTGGAGGATTTTGAATGCTGCTTAGGGCATTCGAAACGATGCTTGGCACTTCAAAACAATGGTGCGTCGCGCGGTTCCGGCCGCCATGTCGCCAGCTGGTCGGAGCAACTTATGACGTAATAGGACGCCTTTGACCGGCCAATCGACGCGGCGTGCCGAGCGATCGCCATGCGCGCCGCCGCGCAGTGCCGGGGTGGTCATTTCCGTTTTCGATTTCGACGTCATCCAACTCCGAAAGCCCGTGTGTTTTGTGTTTCTTTGAGGCCACAATGATTATCGCTAATTTAACGTAAGTACGGGGCGCATCGCGGCGATTTGCGGGGATCGTTTGGATATATTTGCGTGGCCGTCCGGGATTCCTTCCGAAAGCGCACGCTCTATGTATATCCCGTTTACGTACGGTCCGAGCTGTTCACGACGACCAGAGCGCGATTAATGTTCCGCCAAGCGATATCAGGACGACTGCTCCGATTCGTCTCTTACTCCATCATTGTCCCCTCATTTTCAACATTTGTTCGCTTCCGAATCGGGATTTGCATCTGATGTTGAAATAACGAGAATTCCTTCCGAGAAACCAAATCCATCTCATTCTGTAAGACCGGTCCCCCCTTTCGGGAACCAGCCGGCGCGTGAAACACGGTAACATCGACATTCCGATGTGCGCGTAAACAAAGTATCTAAATGGTCATTGACTTTTTGAGATTTTAGCGAGTTTATGTGTTCGCTACGACAGATGTTCCGTTATGCTGATTCGCATAGAACGCGCTACATAAATTCTTGATTTGTCACTTCAGCGGAAAAGAAAGCGAGATGGAGCGAGAAGGGGCGGGAGAAGGAACATCTATAAGATATAGTCTTTCGCTCTTGTAAAGCATCGAACAATTAAATAAACTGTCTAATTTGGCTCTTTTTTTCTTTATAATACTATTTGTAAATCGAAAATGTCAGATAAATACAATTGTCAACGTTTAGTAGTCGACCATAATAGAGCTCGCTTGGTCACGGTTGATGCGCGAGACATGAATCTTAAATAGCCAAATCTGTTGTATATTGAAAATAGATTTTTCAAAATATCTGAAATTGTATCAGCAGAATGTTAGTGAAAATAATGGTAAATTCTATATGTGAGATATAGATTGACTGCAAAAGTGAAGCAGGAGATGTTATTTCACCAATTAGATGATACATTTGATTGAAATGGTTACAAAACAATAAAGCATTCTTTCTTGTTTCTCTTTTGATTAGATCTGCTATTATGTTGATTAGATCTATTATTAGATTATATTGTGCTGTAGTAAAATATCAGCTTGATATAGACATAAAGAATGTCAATCTATTGCAATATTTTAAATTCAAATTATTGACAAATTATTGACAACTAACATGTTACAATGTTTTATATTTTGGAAATTAACATTAATAAACTGTGATTTTGTGTTAAAATTACATCTGAGAGTACATATCAGCGTTTCCCTTTTACAGGTTGAAACTTTCGAAATTGGAATTAGGTTTCTTCATGTCTTAAAGCATTCAAAAATACAACCATAAAAGAGCAAACATTGCTGGTCTTAAGACACAAAAATAAGCAACTCATAAAGATAGCGACACTGTTGTGTATAAAATAAAAATTTAAGCAAACTAACTGACTCGCAACTGGAATATAACTCGAAAAAATTAAAGAAACATGGGCATTCAAGATTTGCAAACTTTCTTGGACGGTAATTCTGTGCAAGGAGGATCTATACCTGTGGACTTGTTGAAGATAGCACGTATGGTTGCACAAAAATCTCAACGCAATCGTATAATTAAAGGACAGCAGTTACACAACTTTGGTAAATTCAGATTGGTTCTCGATGGAGAGTGTTGTTTAGATCGATTGTATGGTGGATTCTTTTCAGGTAAATAAAATGACACACGGCGCAACATTTTTATTACTACATTATTAATATAAGAAGATTACATAAATTAATAATAATCAATAGTATATACAATCATATAAATAAATATTAATAAATCTGATTTTAACAAAGACAGATAATTAAAACCAATTTAATCATTAATATTACTTTAATATTAGATTGGGCTTGTGGTGGACAATGGAATCGTATGCTTCAGTTTCTTGCTGTTCTTATACAAGCAATGGAAATGTCGGGATTAGAAGTAACTGTGTTCTTTAATGGTTGTTTTGAACCTCTTCGGAGAGCAGATTGGGTGCAACATCAGTTGCAAGTACGTGGTAAAGTTAACAATGTAAGTTCACAGTTGTATATCATACGGTTATATTTTCAAGATTAATTGGACAAACAACAAAACAAATTTTTAAAAACATTTTCCCAAAATATTAAGGTCTTGAAACATATAACTACCAAAGGTACACCACCACCCAAAATCTGGTGGACTTCTCCTGTATGTTTACGAACCAGTTTACGTATGGCTCTCAGACATTTGAATGTTACAGTTGTAAGTAACCATTTGTTTTTATTCTTTTTTTATTTTAACATTGCATATATGTATATTATAATAAATGTTGATTAAAATGATAAAATAATAAAATATGGTATTACAAAATATATATTTAATATATATAATTCTAAAAAAAATCTGTAAAGTATTGCATAAATTAATATTATTAACATTCGAATTAAAATTACTAAACTAATATTACTAAAAATTTGAAGTTCTGTAGTATGGACGATCATCATCAAGAAGTTATTGCTTATTGTCGTGAGAATAATTACAATGGATTGATAGCTGATGATGCGGAATATGCTGCATTCGATCCTCCACGGTATTTCTCGTCTGAGCAATTAAAACTTACATACAAGGTACATATTTTTAACATTAAAAACATTTTTTATAATAATTCATAGTACATAATAAGTGTGCGTGCGTG